GGGAAATGGTCAGAGTGGTAGCAACAATAAACAACCCGTTGGCAGGTCTGTCGATGGTTCCCTCTTCCAAGAATTGCTTACGAGCAAGCTAATGGTGCATTTAGCTCGTTAGCATATGCTAGCAAAAATTAATCACCAAGACGAACAAACGAATAGTTGAGAGATGTCCGATCGCTGAGGGATTATATTAACGAGGAGATGTAATGGTGACCCGGTTCCACTTGGGCTCGAAATCGGGATTTTCTGTTTCACTGGTATTTACCACCTTATTAAATACTGCAAGATGACGGCCGGGTACCCCTAGAACTTCAGTCCATTTCATAAGATATACTCCTAAATTAGTACTACTAAAAAGTAACACTGCTTTATAGGTCATATGATGCTGAAAAAGATACCATCCATTAATTGAGGCAAGCAACATTACTGTAGTGAATTTTTTCTGAGAATGAGGAAAAATGTGGGTTTCCATTCCCAGTCTCACGAGAATTCAGCTAAGCAAACTTGAAATTGCACGTTGCAGTGAACTGCTACCAATAACAATATGTGCCGACACGCATGGACAATTCCGGGATGTCCGATCCATTTTGAATATGTGCGGTAACCCACTCTTACAAACATATTTGTTCCTTGGCGACTATGTCGATCGCGGATCACAGGTATTCCTTGTTTTTTTTTTCACTAACAGCGGAAATCCATCGTTTATGAGATAAATCTTTTCCAGAAATCTTGTACTTCTGCCTTTCATGCTGCAATACTAGAAGGAATGAGGAGAGGGGAGGGAGGAACAATTTCCCTTTCAGCGAAATTCCTTCAAGTCTCCCTTTCTCAAGTTGTTTTACTGAAGGCGCCATGACCAGGATGCAGCCGTTTTTATTTCTTATCAGTAATTTTGTTGTCACTTCCAGAAGTGCAAATTATCATCACTGATTTTTTCGACCCATAATGCTAATATCGTACATACACTGTTAAACAGGAATAAGAGATAAAGGACTGGTCTAAGTGTAATGTGTATGAGGACATATTAGGAGCATTCTGTGTTTCATCCCTTAGCTGTAAACACAGACCGGACTTTGCTTGTGGGCACGAGTGGGAATCATCACTACAGCCTCCTACCAGCCAAGTGCTGTGTGGTCATGTAACTAACTTGCAAGACGGATATGCGAAAAACCGAAAGAGAACAGAGAAAGAGAGAAGAGAAAGTAGCTCACGGTACGGACAATCACTGTCTGTCAGTCATAAGCCAGCATTATTTTTATTGAGAATAATGTGCTGTTTGAAATAATACCATGCAGGAAGGGAATATTACACACGTAGCTTCTGCATAATTATGTTTTCAGTTTTTCAAATTACTAGGTTGCTTAACTCAACAAAACAACAGTATTCTGTAAATCCGTGACCAATGTTACCGAGCTGTGCTCATTTTGATGTATTAGAAGCTGGACACTGACAAAACCAGTTGTAAAATAGATGATCCGTGTTTGTTTTGAGATTAGCTTGTTATTCTATTGCCTCTCTCTTAGCAGTATATCAAAAGATATTTCAGAAAATTCTAAATTTTCACTGCTAGACCAGTAGAAGAAACCTGGCCTGTCTGCATCTGATCAATGGAATTGATGCTGAAAAGCTAATCATTGCAGAGCATCGAAAACATAGCGATGTTGCTGTGTTTTAAAATCAAGTACCCATCACGTGTGTATATGTTAAGAGGCAATCACGAAGACGCGAACACAACGCTTACTTACGGATTCTATGACGAATGTGTTGCTCGATTTCCGAACGGCAAAGGAGAATTGGTAGATTCGCCTTCTCTGCCTCGATTTTTTTTTCTCTGAATAAATCCCCACGATCCTTTGTTGCTTGTTTTGAAAACAAAGTTTCTTCCG